TCAAGAGCCGAAACGCAAATACACCCCCGAATACTTGGGGACTCTCATCGATAGTCAGCACATCCGAGTAATTGAAAACTCGGACTCATAAGACCTCAAAGAGGCATCCCCTCGAAACAAAGGCCAAGGCCAATATACTCGGGGACTAACTTTTCGAACAAGTTCGAAAAGTTATCGGGAAACATGTCCAAGTGACATACCCAAAGGCTACGGCCATATTAAAGACTATGTTGATATAAAAAGCTACGGCCAAAATAATGCGGCTTAGAGACGTTCGACTTTCGCTATAAATTAAAGGCCTTCAAACACTTTGAAAAAAACAATTAAATCAGGCTACCCTCGACAAAAGCAAAATATAAAGGGCTTCGATGAATTCAGCCCTCGAATAATTTAAAGGCTTCTGTAACATCAGCCTTCAAAAAAACCTCAAGAGGTATTCGATTATGTTTACATAAACTAATTATTAATAAGGTTCTGATACGTCAAACCTTCGAAAAACCCAAACGGGTACAAAAAACACATGCTAAGGCATATAAAAAAATTTACTAATTCTTTTAGCCAAAAAGAGGGGAAAATTATAGCCACTTTAGAGGTCGAATCGGCCCAACTTAAAGAGCCTAAGGGCCAACTTAAAAAGGCTTAAGGGCCAAAACATATAGAGGTCGAGACCCTATTCTCGCTCAACTCAAACTCGAGAATTACGACATCCTGAGCTCACATCAAATCAATTTAAACTTAGCTCGAGGATTAACAAAACCTTAAGGGGTATTGTATTAACCAATAAAAAACCTAAAGGTTTATTATGTTCTGAGTCCAGTACTCGGATTGACCGTTTAAGTTATCCAATTGAATTTTCCACAAATAAGGACAAAGTGAAATTCAACACAAGTCAAAAATGAGACAAAGAGATCCTTTTATATTTCCAAGAGATGATTACAAAAGATATTTACACAAGGGGTGCTTGCACAAAAAACACTAAAATACCTAAAGTTACTCCGGAGTCATATCTTTGGCAGCTGCATCTTCGGGAGCCTCCTCCTAGGGGAAGTTATCTTCTTCTCCTCCTCTCTCAGAGCCACTAGCCGAGTCATCCTCATCATAAAGCAAAACGACAGCCTCTTCTTTCAAAGTCTTCGCCCTTTTAATAATGGCTGAGAGATCGAAGCCGCGAGCATGCACCTCCTCAAGGGTTTCCCCCTGGGACTGCCGCCTGGCATGGTCAAGTGCACATGATAACACAACTTCGGTCGTAGTAGAGATCTCCTTTGCCCGGGCATTAGCTGCTTCAGCGTCGGCTCGGTACAAAAATATAATTGCCTCAGCGCCAGATTTGGCCTTGGCCAGCTCAACAGCGGATTTAGCTTTAAGCTCCTCGATTTCACGGCCTCGAGCTAGGCTCTCCTTCTTCACACTTTGAAACTGGCGTTCAAGTGAAGCTAGCTGCTCTTGAAGAGTTTCTTTATTAGAGGAGAGACTGTCCATGCCTTGCCTCCACCCCAGGGTCTCGGCCTTCTTCGTCTTGAGCTCCTCCCGAAGCTACTCTACCAACTCACCCTTCTGCTAAAACTGCGAAATCGAAGTATTAGTCGTCAAAACAAACCTCAAAAGCTATATTACCTTTTCAACGAGCTCGGTCCGTTCTTGACAAGCCTGCATAAATTCAATTCGGAGATAGTTGATCTCCCACTCTTTTTTGACATAAAGGATCTTAAGGTTGTCCCTCTCCTCCACGAGCTTCTTAAGTTCAGCTTCGCATAGGGCAAGCTCAGTCCGAGATTTGGCAAATGCTTGTCGATGAAGCAACACGGCCTTCTCACAAGAAAAGGAGGTTAGACTCAGAAAGATGAAGATTAAACTCGGAATAATGAAAGACAAAACTTACTTGTTTGAGGAGCTTTTCGGCCTCCTCAAGAATAAACGAGGCATCAGGATCGGGACCTTCTTCAATTCCCGCAAGAAACTCCTGAAAAATATCGCTCCCTTCATGAGTCTTTGCCACATCGGGAGTCCCTATGTCCTGGGTATCTCGGAATTGCCCTTTAGAAAACACTAGGCCCTGCGGTGAGTCATTTGTGTTGATTACCCCAAGTGATTCACTTGGGGTGTTATCCTGTCTTTGAAGAGCCTCGGAGTTAGGCTCTTCGAGCTCATCCACCAAGTGTCCCCCGGGACAAGGTGCACTTTTTCTGCCTGATGGCTCAGGGACTTTGCTCGAGCTCCCCTCTGAAATTTCTTCGGTTCGAGATTGAGCCGCCTCCATCGCCGTTGGTTTAGTGGCCTTCGGAGCGTCTGAGCGTCCACTTTCCTGAGATACCAGCAGGTAATCATCATCCTCTTCCTCTTCCTCCTAATCCCGAAGGCGTTGGGCCGTTTCTGGAGATACATCCACGGTGTCAACCTTGGGCTTTCGAGCTTTGCTTTTCTTTGGCATTGAGGAATTTGCAGGCGACCTTCCCTTTCTTTTCTTTTCCTTGGAAGGCTTTGGCGTCTCTTCTTCGCCAGGTGGGGGTGGCTGCATAGCAACGGCATCTCCGAGGCCTGCATATAAAACAAAGTAAGTATTCCACTGAGAAACATAAATACACAAACAAAGGGACTCACCATGGTTTTTAGCCTCCCATCGACCCTTGGCCAGATCACGCCAGCAATGCTCCGAGTATGAGGAAGCAGAGGCCTGTTTTCGGACCCAACCTTCGAGGTCTGGGACCGCGCTAGGAAACCAAGCAATGGCTACACCATCGAAAAGGAGTTAGATCGAGAAAAAGATGAAGTCGAGAAAGAGAAGAGGAAGCATGATAGTAAGTTATTATCAAAAAGCATGTACTTACGTTTCATGTTCCATTCCTCGGGGAATGGCATCCTCTCAGCAGGAATCAGGTCGGAGGTCCTGACTCGGACAAACCGGCTCATCCACTCTCGATCTTTGTCCTCATCGATGCTGGAGAAGCGAGATTTCGAGGATCGGCATTGCAACTTTATCAATCCACCTCGATAAAGGCGAGGGATATACAACCTGATCAAATGGTTGAGGGTAAAAGGCATCCCCTCGACTTGGCTCGAGAAGCATTTAATCAAATTGACAATTCGCCAGAATGAAGGGTAGACCTGGCCGAACATCACTTGGTATCGTTGACAGAAATCAAGGATAATTGGGTCTTTGGGACCCAGGGCTAGAACTGCAGAACCCAGCGTGAATGGGTAGGTGTACATGCTTAAGTACCTCGCTTTATGGGTAGTAATGTCCTCTTCTAGGGAAGGAATCACCACACCTTTGTCATCCCAGTTGCAATCCTTCTTTACCTGCTCAAGCTCATCCTTGGTTATCAAATAAATGTATCGAGACATGGGGTCACATCGGCCTAGAGTCGATACAATTTTTTTAATTTTGAAATCGGATGTTATTTCACACGGCAGGGGAATGCACTCCTCGATGCGAGGTGGCACCACTGGTTTACTTCTGGATGGTCATGATAACGAAGAGGCTTTTTCTTGTTGGGGAACAGTTTTGGATGTTTAAGTCATTGTGGTTCAAGTGAAGAAGAAAATATTGATGATGGAGTAAAGAACAAATTGAGAGAAGTGTGATCTCAGGGACGTTGAAGGAGCTAACAAGATTTGGGAACGAATTGAGAAGTAAAGTTTGCAAAATTGTGAAGTTGGCCTATTTATAGAAGTCACTTAAGCGTATTAAGGAAGCCAAAGGACCGACCATCAGCAGCCTCTAATTAATGACCTTGGAAACTATGCAGACGCGACCTTTCAATCACTTCAGACGCTGACATCACAAGATTGGAATCATGATCGAGACATCGAGGAGATAGAGATTCAAGTCGTTTCTTATCATCTTATTCTAAGAAACGCGGGGACTATCTGTATACGGTCAAAATCATATGCCTCCAACTTATAGGCTCGAGGGTCCGTCCTAAGCCCGAGTCCGGGCGAGGTCGAGTTCGAGCTCGATGGACCAGACTTGAGCTCGAAGACAGAATGCAATGTCCGGAGATAGGAGTACAAGGAAAACCAAACCTGAGTATGCTCGACCCCGAAATTGTATCGTTATAGATTTGTAACAAAGTGAGCTAGATTCCTGCCACGTCCCTAAGGTCGTGGCGCAAATCCTATTGTACGATTCCGTACTAGGTGGTTAGACAGCTGTATCAAGAATATTCCTTACTGTAAATAGAAATATACCTTATTTAGGGTGTCCCTATTATATAAAGGGGACGTCAATCATTTGTAACATCATCTAATCACTGAGCAAAGAATATATTCTCTACTTTTTCGCCTACTGTTCGTTAGAATTGTCCTTAGCTCTACTGTTCTTACTTTACTTTTCTTGCCCAATTATTCTTGTTGTTCTAAACTCACCTCGAGGTCACTAAGCTCGAGATTACTACTGCTGAGTAACACTGGTTTGATTCATTTATTTCTTTCATTTCTACTTCATATTTCTTGTTTACTAATTGGTATTGAACTAAATCACATATCTTTAAAACCACTAATCAAATTTAATTGTTACTCGTATTTTCGAGGTAAACAGAGTTAAATTGATTTCATAAATGTTAGTAAAAATTGTATAAAATACTATTATTAACGCAGTATGATATTATATAAAACATCACAAATCATACAAAATGTAGGAGAATGACAAAAGTTTTATGTTGATTGTATTTATTCCGTTTTTGGTTGAAAGTATTAACTTAAACCAGTAAACTTTTATATCAAAGTTTTGGTATAACTTATCAAATATAGAAAGTAAAATTGATTATCTAAGTTTTAATCCTGGAATATCCCCATCTTAAGCCAATTAAAAGTAATGTGTTATACCATTCCATATTTATTATCCAAGTTTTAAGAATTCAAATTCATAAAGTATTCAAGTTTAAACTTTGATGTGATACTCTTTTATCAACTTGACGTTTTGATTATTATTATTATTATTATTATTATTATTATTATTATTATTATTATTATTAAGCGAGGGAGAAAAACAAAAGAATGACGAAAAAAGAGTCATCCTTTGTCATAATAGATTCAAACCTTCTCTCCCTAAAGTGTACTGTACTCTCTCTCTGCATAGTCCATACAAGAAGATTATAATCTACACTGTTCCTTTTGAGTTCATCTTTATGTAGTTTCGAAGCAAAAAAGCAAATCCACTATAAAAAACCCTAGCAAATTCAGATCACCGACGCTGAAAATCTAATCGGAAAAGCATCCAGATGGGGCAGCAGAAGGCGCTGATCTACGCATTTGTGGCACGTGGCAACGTATTATTGTCTGAATATACTGATTTCAGCGGCAACTTTAACTCCATAGCCTTTCAGTGCTTACAGAAACTTCCTGCTTCCAATAACAAGTTCACTTATAACTGTGATGGCCATACCTTCAATTACCTCGTCGATAATGGCTTCAGTGAGTCTCTTAAACATTTTTTTTTTATTGTAGAATATCAGTTGTTTCCATTGATTTTTGCTGTGAATTTAGTTTAAATTAAATGGATCGAAGAAAGTACTTGCTAGTTGTAGGTTTTGTTTTTAATTGAAATATCTGGTTTGCTGAGGTAGCAGGTAAACAGTCGAATAGTCAGGGCCAGATCTATAGTTAAACTTACAGGTTCAACAAAACTAGCAGCATTAGTTCAAACTCTGTATTTGTGTTTTGAAATTTACTTAATATGTTTAATAATCTATCCAGTACCTAGTAAGCAAAAACTATTGTGGTCCAGAACACATAAATTTAAAATCGTAGATCCGCCTTTGAGAATAGTCGAGGGGCGCGCAAGCTAGCCTTGACACCACCGTCATTAAAAAAATTATTAGATTTGGCGGTTGATTCGTGTTTATGATCTTCTGATTGGAGATGTAAAGAGATAAACGCATTTTGATTGTTGGGTTTAACTTAAGTTTAACTTCCAGTTTCTCTATGTGTTTATGTGGTGATAGATATAGAATCTCCTTGATTTCTTGACACCACCGTCATAAAAAAAATTATTAGATTTGGCGGTTGATTCGTGTTTATGATCTTCTGATTGGAGATGTAAAGAGATAAACGCATTTTGATTGTTGGGTTTAACTTAAGTTTAACTTCCAGTTTCTCTATGTGTTTATGTGGTGATAGATATAGAATCTCCTTGATTTCTTTTCAGAATGTTTATTCGTGTTTAGGTGATATTTATTTAGAATATTAAAGAAGAAGTGGCTTGGGAGGTGGGCTTTTGTCTGTAAATTGTTTGTAGTCCACATGATCCTCTTGTCTAAAAGTTTTGTATTTCTATTTTTAATAATATGAACTCGTTATTTTCCTTTCGATGTCATTGTAAAGTTTTGTGATGAGTTGAGATTGTTAGATGAAATGGTAGATTACAGGAATAACATTCTTGCTTCTTTTCTTTTCTCTCTATGGGTATTTTTCTGTGGGCTGAAAATATTCATAATCAAATCTCTATCGTGTATGCTATTAATTAGTTTATTCATAACTATGCTACACAAGTATGAGCAGATTCTAAACCCGCAATCACTGGAAACTCCTGCGTATCTCTTCCCATTATTCTCATACTTGTGACTGCCGTTTTGTACAAATACTTATGACATTTAAATATTTGATATGAATTCATCTTAAACACTTATTTGAAGTACACTTTTTGGTTCTTTATGATATTCTTTCTTTAGGTAAATGAATATCAAGTGGAGATCCTTTTTTTTCTCACGATAAATATTTGCAGCCTTTTAGCAAAAGTATAGCCTCTATTCTCTTCCATAATTTAATGTCGCTAAGTTTATGTTCTATCACTCTTTCTCTTATCACATGGCTCATAAATTTAATACCGCAATAGTTCTCAATTTCGCATAACACTAATATCTGCATTGCTCTTATAAGTTGAAGCAATGTACTCTTTCTCAGTCATTTGGCATCTCCACTCCTTAGTATAACATTTAGTAGCTTGCTTACCCATACCAACCTAACCAAGGCAATTCCAAACCTCTGTAGGAATCCAACATTACCACAAGCTTTTCTAATTCTTATGTTTTTCGTGACATCCTTTACTTTGTTAAACTTAATTCTATGATAGTAGCATGTTATGAATGTTTGTAGATCTCTAAAGTTATCTTCGTTATTTTGATGAGCAATTAATTGTAATGTATCCATCTAAGTTTGATCTACTCTCTTCTTTCAAAACTTTCTGGGAACCATTTTTATTATGCTTAACTTTGTTTAGGTATTACCTCTCTTCTCTCTCAAGCATGCTAGATGTACCTTTCTTTCTCCTCTGTCTACATGCCTTTGATACATGCCATTCAAGGCTTCTCTTGGCCTTTGTTTATGGCCTGCTTAGCTCTTTATTTTCTTATGCTGTTTAAAGGCTTTTGGCAGCTTTCTATATCGTTCTCTTTTTTCTCTAGTAGCTCTTCACCCCCTCTTATCCCACCACCACGGTTCACACAAGTTGAAACGGAGTGAGTAATTCTATTGATTTTTGGATTAATGAGTTCATGTTCAAATTATCTTTTTGAATTTGACTCTCTTAGTCAAACTTCCTTACCGCTTACTCCCACATGCCAAATGATTGTGGGAACCCTTTCCGGCCTAGCATTACATCGGATAAGTAATTTACACCCATTCATTGTGTGAGAACCCTTTTTCTTTTAACTCACTCTCATTCATGTAGTGTTATGATGAACTCCCTTGCTCATTAAGGCTATATCTTGCTGCTGATGTAGCGTGTGCGCATGCAGACATCTCACAACAATTTCAATGTTTAGATAATTCATCATGTTAGACTATTTCCTAGTTTTCAATATTCCGCAATCTTTTTCTTTTATCTGGGTTTAATACTACTAACAAAATTAAAATGGATCGCATTTCCTTTTTCCATTTAAATCTGTTTCCGTCAAAATTTTCCTGTTTTATGTTATTGGATGGAGTAAAAGATGAGTTGTGATTGTCAAGTTTCTTCAATTTCCATTACCCTCCCAATACATCTAGTTCTTTGTGATATCTTTTGTTTCTTTTTCTATCTTCCACATGCTATTTCCCACCACTATGAGATGATGTCAGAGGGAAGTTCAGAAGGTGGTTGTATTTCCCCTTTTTCAGACAAACTTTACAATCTTAATTAGCTTCTTTTAGGCGGTGATGTGAAACAAATGAAGATTTGTTTGAATTACTTCTTAGCAAATGAAAAAAGGACTTTCAAAGTAAAAGAACTAAGTGTGCATTTGAGAGAAGGTTTCGAGATGCATCAAAATGACTTCTCACCTTTTTTTTTGTTAATAAATAAGTTGCAGGAGAAGTATGACTTTCACCTTTTAATGTTCTGCGAAGTGGTTTATGTAATTTCAATTTTAAGAGCTACTGCATCTTGCTATTTCCCGTTTGAAAGTTGGAACATATATTGCAAGAAGAATCTGAGTATTATTCTTTAGAGTTGCTTATTATTCTGCTTTTCTTTTTCACTTTTAAAGCATACCCTATGTCAGCAGCTAGCTGATTAGTGTGCTTACCTCTGTAAGTTTATGTTTCGTCTTACAGCATACTGTGTGGTTGCTGAAGAGTCTGTTGGAAGACAAGTTCCAATTGCCTTTCTGGAGCGTGTTAAGGATGACTTTGTGTCAAAATATGGCGGTGGGAAGGCTGCAACTGCTACTCCTAATAGCCTTAACAAGGAATTCGGGTATTTGAATTTAAAATATTTACTTTAGTGATATATAGTGACAGTTTCAGTTAGGTATGATATTTCTTTTTTTTTTTTTGCGCAGACCTAAACTAAAGGAGCATATGCACTATTGTGCTGACCATCCTGAGGAGATAAGTAAACTAGCCAAGGTGAAAGCCCAGGTTTCGGAAGTTAAGGGTGTTATGATGGAAAACATTGAGAAGGTATGAGTGTCTTCTAATGCCTAGCTGACATATTGACTGAAATGGAAGTCTGACATTGACTGCCAGCTCTTTTTGTTTTGTTATTCCTAATAATACAAATAAATCATCCGTGCAATCAATGGGACATTGTATTTGCTGAGGTTCCTTTTAGGTGTATACTTCTATGATGGAGTAAGAAATTTAATTTTTGGTTTTAACTGGATCAGCCTGAGAATACTTGCTTTTGAGCTGTATAGTGAACAAGAGGTGGACCTTTTAGCTCTACTGAAGCTTTTATGTACAGTTTTTCATTTTTATATTTACCTGACCTGCAAAAAATGGGGAGATAGGTTATAGGGAAGGGCTTTTCCCCCCAAATTAACAGAGAGGGGAATAGAAAAAAATAGTAATAGAGGAAAAGATATTAAAGATAAGGTTCAACATCTTCCCTTTCATCTGTTTGAATAGCTCTAACAACTCAATATATGGGGTATGATGAGTTATGTTGGATTGCACTTGGAAATAGTTTCTCTTGGCCAGTTCATAAATCTCCATTTTTTTTAGAGAGGCGAGGAAGTTTTGTGACAGTTATGGTGCCTCTTAACGTCATTCATCTATTATTTGTGTTGGGTGTCCGAATAAAGTCTCGTTGGAAGTTGACAAAAGAATTACATATAAGGTGTAGGATACTCTTAGTAGTATAAGGCCTTTTGCTTACATCATTTATTTTTTATTTCTGAATGATGAAAACTAACATGAGCAAAATGGTGTGCCTGTATGGTACTAATTACCATAAGTATAAGAACAAGATGAATGATCTTTTGTTTGTGAAGAAGATTTAATTGTCCCTTTTTGCAACTCATAAAACTATGCTCATGTTTGACGAGGATTGGGAATTCGAGCACCACAAAATCTGTGTATATATAAGGTAATCAATAGAAGATAATTGTTTTCCTTACTACTAAATAAAGACGTGTTTTTTAATCACATTGTTAATGAGACATACCAGAACTTTGTATCAAAAGCTTTGAGACAATTTATGCTTCAATGACATGCAATAACAAGTTGTTTTTGCCAAAATAATTGATGACCTTGGAGATATAAGGATCATTTAAATGATTTTCGGGTGTTATTGATCAATTGTATGGAATGTGTTTAAGTTTGATGATGAGATAAGAGACTTTGTCTTCTTAATACTCTGTTAGATTCTTGAAAAAACTTCCTTGTTTCTTTGGCCAATTCAGCTCCCAGTGGTGTGGTGACATGTAGTATGCCAATACTTTTGGATAAGGAACTGAGGAGAAAGTGCATCCAAAGGTATGAACTAGTGGTTAAGCAAATGGTTGCGAACCATGTGGACGAGGGTTTAAAACTAGCAAAGACAAAAAACACAGGGCGATTTTCTCCCATCTGCTTAAGGCTTGGTAGTCAGAGTTATTTGGTACTTAGGTTGGTGGAAGGTACCAGGTGTGAATTGTCGAAGTACGCGTAAATGCCTCGAACACCACCGTCATTAAAAAGGAATTGCGGAGAAATCTCCGGCCTCATCTTCATTACTTATACAATCAGACGTTTGGTTATTAAATACTGAGGAAGAAGCAAAGTCAAAAGTCAAAATGATAAAAGTAGAAGCATATGGAGGTCCAAGTACAAGAATCTTACATATAATCAAAAAAAGAAAAGGCAAAGCATATCAAGGAGTTCTCTTTAAAGCTAAAAGAGGAGATGAAACAAGAACAGAAAGATGGCGGCAATAAATCGTATATCTACTGTTGTTACAACAAGATGATCTTATTTTTGCATATGATGAAAATATTGTTCCCTCTGTTCCAAAAAGGTTGGAACTATTTTGTTATTAGTCCATTCAAAAAGATTGATACATTCCGATATTTCGTTAATGGAAAATTTTTATAGTCATACAAATGCTATGGCTTGTTTAAGACCATAAGTTTCAAAAGTTTTATAGCCATGCAAATGTTATGGCATATTTAAGACCACAAGTTTCAGAAGTCTTCCTCCTTGTATTAAACTTTGTGCCAAGTCAAACTAAGACAAATAAATTGAAGCGGAGGGAGTATTAATGTAGTTTAATGTAAACCAATCGGGTGGCAGATGCTGGTTCTTCGTATCATGTCACGACGAGGAAGAAATTCTTCTCATTTTATGCACCTAAGTGATTTGAAGTATTGATAATAGGTAATGATGGTTTAATTAAGGCAATTGGCATGGCAAATTTTGCTTTGAGACTAATAATAGTTCTAGGCTGTTCTTAAAAATGTCAAGCTTGCTCCCGACGGGAAAGCTTGACATTGATGGTTGTAATATTTTATGTGATGGCTAGTAAAAATTCAATAAAGGTTTACTAATAGTAACAAATCGTCAAATCCCTACATGATGTATGGTTCTTTTTGTAGTGGCTTGGTGAATGTCGTGGAGAGTGATGCATCATGAGAATTATGACATAGAAGGTTGAGTTACATGAGCGAGAAGGGATGTTTGGCTAAGAAGAACTTGCTTTTTGGAGTGAAACAAGCAAAACTAAAGAGATGTGTTTATTGCTTAGCTGAGAAATTATTTCTAACCCGGGACTTCGTTCTTACACCAAAAATCTCTCCTTTTAACTAAGTACACGTGTCGAATTACCAACCAAGTATAATTATGGCCATCAAATTTTGCATGCTTCTCCTTGTATTTTTCAAAACTATCGACGAAGATATAATCTGGTTCGCAGATGAGCAAGAGCAGCAAATCGACCAGTTCCCTGCAGTGACTCTAGTAGGCTTGTTTCTTAGCTCTAAATAGGAAGTAACATGAGAGCTACTATCTTCCATCTCTATTCTTGTCTCGTCGAACCATCAGTTTTGATACAATTTGGCGGGAATGCTTCACTTCTGAGTTATTGGCAGAACCCAAGTACTCTTTTTGGAATTCAGGAGACAACTGTTAGAGAACGCCAAAACAATGCAAGACAAGGTCGCCGCGAATAAACTCATTCAAAATTTTACTGATCTATTTGAATCAAGATTCAAGAGGATGAATCAAATTCAAAACTGATACGAACAACAAGTATAATTAACTACGAAATAAATTTGGAGAAGGCGAAATAACCAATCAATAGGAGAACAAAATTTATGTGGAAATCTCTTCAAGCGAAGAATAAAAACCAACAAGATTTCTAACCCATTAAAAACTCTACCACATTAGAAAGGAGTAATAAAAGTCCTCCAAAATTGTCATACAATACCACCCTTCCTCAGTAAAGCCGAGCCCAACTATTATATTGATTACGCCAAACATAGCTTTAGAGGCTCTTACTAGATAGGGTGGAAGAATAGAAGTCATCAATGTCAAACTAGGAGAAACAATAGCAAAACAAGTTAGGAATGAGAAAATACCTAAAATTGAGCTATTGTTTGCCAACTCAAAATCTGCAACTACAGACATCAAAACGCTATCTCCACCATTCAAATCAAAGTACAAGTTGTTAGTAAAAATTTCAGCTTGATTCAATGGTAAAATGAAGCTGGAAATCAGTTTCGAATTGGTCGTGCAGATATTTGCAGCGAAGAGAAAACTATCTTTCTCCACTCTTTTACCTAAAAAGAACGATTGCTCTTCTTTTCAAATATCTCTCTTAAGATCAAACCTAAAATTGGGTCTTTTAGAAGTGATTTAAAACATAAGTAGGCCATAAAGAAGATGTCTTTGTCCAAAACAATTTTTTTATTCACATGGAAAGGAAAAATTCAAAATTCATTATGTCAAGAGTATCTTTGGGTTGATTTGGCCGAACAAAATTGGTATTAGAGGAAGGTTGTAGTAATGTATTGCCATATATATTATAAAAATAGAGCTTATTTCCGTTGTTGAGGCTTGCAAAGAGTTACTATTGATGAAGAGATTTTTTTGGGAGCTAAGATTTGCCTAAGGGGAAGATGTATGCTCTATTATGATAGTCGAAGTAAATTTATTCAAGGTACAATTAACTCTGACAAAACCTTTACACTTCATTGTAGGCCTAAAACATATTAATGTGAGATACCATTGGATTACAGATGTGGTGGATCCGAAATTGCTTGAATATTAGAAGATTCACACAGATGACAATGGTTTTGACATGTTGACTATGCATTTGCCAAAAGTGAAGCTTGAAGCATGTGATTCGATCATCAAACTGCGGTTCATCCACATATTCGAGAGGGAAAAATTGTTGGGTTTTTAGGCTTTACTCTTCTTATGTGACTAAACGATTGTTTTGGATCAAGCCCGTCTTTCTATGGCCCATTAGTGTTTTAAATCATAGGCATAACTTTAGGTCTCATCTTAAGAGAGATTTGAATAGATCAGACGTAAGAGTGCAGTAAAATAGTTTCTTCTCTTGTGGCAGAATTTTCATGCAATCAATTTGGTTGTAATTGCGTTTCTCGATTCATTCACCGCTGGATCAAGTAAAGAGTGTAAAAAGTTAGTTTCTTCTCTTGCTGCAGAATTTCCATTCAATCAACTTGCTTGTAATTGCGTTTCTCGATTCATTCATTGTTGGATCAAGCTGACATATTCACTGGGAGTATCTCAGATCCAGTTGTTGATTTTCTCCCATTCTTCACTTGAGCGTATATGCTAATTTTGAACAGTCGATTGTGTTTGGAGGTCCGTTGCTGCAAATTTTTGAGCCACAACTTGTTGATGTTTTCTCATTCTTCACTTGTTTAGTTATTACTTATTACTATTATTTCTTTTTGTTCGGCACTGATGTTGACCATCTTGGAGTATTTTGTAACTCTGTATTGATATAGTGGAACTTTTCATGGACAGGAGATCTGTTGGTTTTTACTTTTCCCTGTTATAAGTTTTATCACATATATTTTTTGGTGTCTCGTGCGATTGGTTGATGTATCTTTTCCATATTCATTTTGTTTATTATACTTGCTGTTAAGATGTTTGAGTTTTGCTTGTTCTTAAGTGTAGTCTGGTGCACAAAGCATCCTGCATTCACACAGGGTCGGGGGAAGGGCTGCACCCTAAGGGATGTGGTGTAGGCAAACTACCCTAAAGCAAGTATTAGTGGCTGCTTCCACGGCTCGAGCCCGTGACCTATAGTTTTGCTTGTTCCTCTTGGTTCAAATAGATTAGGAAGACTTTGACTGAGTGTTTATTCTGCTGTGCCCTTTTCTTAGCATTATTTTAGTGTTTTCTCTTCTTAGTAGACAAGTATCAAAGCCGAAGATTTGGATGGACATGGAGATGACAAAAGGTAGACATTCTGCTATGCTATTGCCCTTGAAGAGTAATGAAACAAGTCCAACGAAGTGATTGCGTAATACGAGCCAGTTACTTGTGTCCATCTATGGACTAGTTGCCATTATCTATAGTCTGGAGACACACAAGGAGAAGCATGTTGGCCTTGGTGGCCATAAATATACTGTGATACTGTGGGTAGCATGCAATGAATGTTTAGGTAAGCCCATGAATGTTGGTGATGGACCATGTAGTACTTAGTTCGAGGGTGATTTGTTAGGTGTACGAATAAAATTTCACATTGGAAGTTGATAAGGAAAAAAAAAAGTTACATTGAATGTATTTGGGATACTTTTAATGATGTGGGGCCTTTTGTGAAAAACTTGGTGAACTTGGATCAAATCGGATAGCATCAGTCGGTGGTAAGAGTGCCTTTGGAGCGGTTCAGTCCAACAAGTTGATGGTTGATGGTTAATGTTCATAAGATGTAGTCTAGCTGCAATTTATAACCTAATGATCAGTGTTGTCAAAGGCGCGCTTAAGCCCTAAAGCGAGGCTCAAAACACGTTGAGCGCTTCGCCTAGCTTTGTGGGCGCTTTAGTGTTGCATCAAAGCTCTAAGGCATACTTTTCCTTGCCAACGAGTGTAATCCTGAAAAGGCGAGACCTTAAACAATTGATATTTCACTTTATTGTAAATTGTTTTCAATTTCTTTGTCCATATATTTGTTATTCATGCTTATAATGATTGGTCTTGGACTATATGCATATTTTTACTTTTTCTTCCGTTGCGCCTTTTTTCATTAAAGCGCACGCTTTATTTGGGCTTTGCACTTAAAGCCCCAACGGACCTTAGAGCTTTTTTGCGCTTTTCGCCTTTGATAACACTGCTAATGATCATTCAGGAGTTCAACCATTTGGGGCCAGTTTACATTTTAAACTGGATATCTTTTATAATCCCTTCCCCCTCCCCTCAGATAAATATTTATTTTGTTCCCTTTTTTGTCCCTCCCAGGAAAATTTTACCCACATGCAATCTATATCATTTCTAAAGTTGCAGATTTACAAAAATTAAACTTTTATTCTGCTATCTTTCCTTGATGTTTTCAACTGGCTACTATTTCTTCTCACATCTCCATTATCTTCCATATATCTCTTTCCAACCCGATTTAATAACCGACTATCATTTTTTATATAATCTCTTGCAGAAATGCAGGGTAATGCTGCATACGATAGACCCTTGTGGTCCGGCCCTTTCCCGGACCTCGCGCATAGCGGGAGCTTAGTGCACCAGGCTGCCCTTTTTATCATTTTTTATATAGCAAGATTGGATCAAGTTAAGTGGGATGGAGGAATAGTTTTTATTCCCTGGAAATCATCTACATTATTCATTGATGATGAGGATGTCCGAAAGCATGAGTTTGAGAGGTTTATTATATTTGAGTTAGAGATATGTCCAATGTACTTGCCTACCGAAAAACAAATGGAAGATATCAAAGTAGTGGGAAGTTAAGTTATTTATGTCTATTGGAAAATCAATTTTTGATAAAACTGTTCTACTGGAAAATGAATTTATTGATAAAACTGTTCAATTGGAATATATATTTGCCGTCACATATTGATATTACTCTACGTAGGATAGGTCAAATGGATAAGAGGAACTCTTCAGGTGGAAGAATATAATTCACGATTCAATAAATACCATGTTAAGAATGACCGATCTCAACTACTATTCTTTTTCTCTATTCTCAATCTTGATCTTCTTTTTTATGTATTCCATTCTCTCTGTTCAAGTTTATACATGAGTCTATTCCCTCTATTCTCAATGTTCGTTCTATGTGGTACAATTTTCTCTCTGTTCAAGGATGTTCACAGAGCTGATTCTGTGTAATATTTAAAAAAATTATAGGTTCTTGATCGTGGAGAAAAGATAGAGCTGCTTGTTGATAAGACAGAGAACCTTCACCATCAGGTTTCTCAATCTCTTTATTTTAATGTTTTATCTTTTTGTTCTTTGCAATGATGTATTGGCATTTGTTTCTATGTTATCATTTTCTTTTTCTTCTTTGGGATCTAACTTGGGTTTAACATTACAATTTTTGGATATGCCAGTGTACTTTTGCAAAGTTTTCAGGCAGCAGTAGGAAATTAAATTAGATTCGAATTGTCAAATGAAACAGTTTCCTTGTCATGGAACCAACTTGAAACTTTGTTAAATGCTTTTAGTTGTTTTATAGTTGAGATTGTTTCTTGGCTAGAACTACTCTGATTTGGTTGCAAGTGGATACAACTAGTACCAATATCTGACTTCTAGTTTCTTAGCCAGTGGCACAGGAGTGGAGCATGACTGTTTCTTCATCAAGTCTTTGCCCTTAAAAACTAAGGTTGGGTTATCTGTATAGTCACTACAGTTACTAATTTAGGAACTTGTTTGTTTCGGAAACAGGCACAGGATTTCCGGAATACGGGGACACAAATCAGAAGAAAAATGTGGCTGCAAAACATGAAGGTCAAACTCATAGTATTGGGTATTCTGATTGCTTTGATCCTCATCATAGTTCTCTCAGTTTGTCATGGGTTCAATTGTGGAAAGTGAGCATGTTTTTGTGTTCTAATGCTACATTTGTATGAGAAAAGTTCATGGTATATTGTCATTATTGATGCATTTGATGATATAAATGGCTTTGAAAAGATACAATGTTATATTCTATATGTATATTAGATGGAAGAATCAACATTTGCATATAGATTGCTTGTGCAAAAGGGTCCCATTTTTGTCGTCTCTTCTTTTTAGCAGTCTTCATCGCTTTTTGCTAAATGATTTACATTAAATTCTTTAACTCTACTTTCGAGCTTAATCGAGTAGGTTTAAGCAAAGCTTTTATTTTTAGTTCGTGTATTTTGTCCAAGTATGAAACGTCCATTTTTTAAGTAAGAAAAGCGATGCAATTTTACTTGTATATTACGTGAATGTGTCAGAGAACACAACAACTTTGAATGAAGATAAAGAAACTTCAATTTGACCCATATTAGATGTACATGCTTCCAACTTTTATTTGTTAAAAATAATTCTAGTTATTCATCTGCCACCTATTTATATGAAAGACTGGACCCCTTGAGTTTCAGTGTTACTTGATTTAGGATCCCAATATATTTTGAATTTCACTCGACTTCCTAATGTGTGAATTTGAGACATTATTTGTCCAGAAATGTATCACAGATAATTCATTATAAGATTAGAGATGGCAAGTGAGAACTTTTTTCCAAGCCTAACATAATTCTCTTTTACAAGGTTCGACGAAAAAATTACTGAGAGCAAAACAACTTGCTTAGCAGACACCAAAATGGGGAAAAAGGAAAAAAGAAAAAAGAAAAAAGAAAAAGAAAGAATGACTCTCATCCTCTCCGAATTTTACCAAGAACCAAGGTAGCTGTCATTTCTAAACTAATGTCCTGCCATGGCTATTTAATACATATCACCCACTAAATGAATGAACGGATGAAGCAACCTTATATATAACTAGTAAATTTACCCGCGCTTCGCGCGGTCATAAAAAATATTTATCAACTTTATGTAATAATTTAAAATATATAAAAATAATAAAAATTAGGATCTTGTAATATTCTCAATATTAAAAAATAGCGGAAACATCAATATAATGTGAGATAACTGGGATATAATTAGAAAAAATTTAATATGATAAATATCTCAAACTTTTATTTCACCACAAACATCTTAGATTCACATAAAGTAGATAGAGCTTTCAATTAGTAGTTAGTTACATTTTTGTAATTTTTAATTTTTCTTATTAGTATGAACCTTTATTATTGACACGAAATTCAAAATAATATGCTAGAGGTAGAATTTATCAGATACATATACTGTCATTTTAACAAAAACTCACAATTAGCTTCTCCTCAGAGAGGTAACATCTGTAATGAAGTTCAAGTATCAATCTTTCTCACTGCAAATGCTTAGTTTACGTTGCATGCTTACTCTTACGGATCATATTGGCTAGGTTGTTTATATCGAGGAATCTAGTGTGTATCTTAATCGATGAATTTTTTTAACATTTATATGAACGAAAAATCAAATTAAAGTCAAAAATATTAAAGGAATAACATAATTAGTGAATATAATCCCAAACAAATAAGTAAAGACAATACCCAACCAAGTCGGAAAAACTGAAACATACCTTATTATAAAAAGAACTTTTACGTACAACCACAAAGGAAAGGCAACACCTTCTTTTAGAAAAAATAATTTGTCAAAAAGAGAGGAGAGTTACATCTAGTAAAGCGCTAATTGGATGGTGTTGTTCGTCTCCGATTGCATCAGACCTCCTGTTTGTATAACATGTATATCCAAGGCCTCAATAGATTTGTAACCCCTTTTTTCAATTATAAATTGTGAATGTTTAGCATTCAATTTTTTTCACTATAAAAGGGTAGTATAGTAACGACAATTCTTGAAACTGATACCGTACATTAAATGGTGGTATTTTAATAGTCATTTGTCATAACTGTAGGTAAATATAATTAAATTATGGTGTAAATGCATGAATATGCTGATTTTTCAGCTAGAAAAAATGAGTTAAGATGGCAAAAATTTGAGAAAAAAGATAAATACCCTTCCTAGCATATGAGAGGTGCCAAGTCAACATTTTTTATCCCACTTTTATATAAATATATAGATAGATAGACTATAGTAAATTATGGACTCTCATCCTCTCTGAAATTTTTTTGGAGTCATTTATCCATCAAAAATATGTGGAAACTATGTGAAAAAGTTAAAAAGAGGAAGGATACTCTTCATACCCTTTCTCTTCCTCTCTCCCCAACTCCCTCCCCCCCTCCATCCTAAACTAAAATAAAGCTTTACTTCAGGATGCTTTGGCTACAATTTTTCTCTATACAATGAGAGTTTCATGTACCGAATTAGTTAATAATCTTTTCCGTAATTTTGCAATTTTAATCTTCACAAAGTGATTAGCATCTGCTATATATATACACGCACAGGCGGGGTCTAAAGCTAAAATTTAATCGAGGCCTTTTTTGAAACAAAACCTTCATATATATTTTTATTTGAAGTCTATTTTTTTCGGTTCATTTTGGGATGTAAAGTTGGTAACAATTTTTTTATAAACCATTTAGTCTTTCCTAAAATATTGTTGATCTTAGGACATAGAACCAAATTCAAGAAGTTGATAACTTACTATCAAAATAATTATTTTATTTTTCAATATTCTTGTTGCAATGCTTGAAGCCGAAGGAAAAAAAATACACAATATAGCTTATTCATATAGTAGTACTTTTCAACTCTTGTTTTTTTTTTTTATAGAAAATAAGTAATTCTTTTTGCTGAACAATATAGCTTATCGAAAACTTAAACTTTTGCAGAAATCAAGAAAGGGAGTATAAGAATATAGTACGCGTTTTCTGATAAGAAATATAAAAAATGAGATTTGGACTATTAGGTATATCAAAAAAGGGACTCCAAAAGTTTACTACACGTTTTATAGTGAAAAATATTTTTTTAAAAAGAATAATAATAATATAGTTACTTCACTAATAATGTCAATAATAAAACGAAATAACCCCAAACTTTATATTTAGGATAGTGATTCTCTTTTTACAATTTTTTCTCAAACGGTTACATCAGTAACAAACTAAAAATTATTTTTACTTCTTATAAAACATTTCACTTTTCTACTTATATAACTTGAAAATTTATTATTGGTAAAATTAGGCTCCATGTCTCCACCTTTAAGGATTTGTTGTAGGATGGGTATGATCTAACCTACCTTAATAAGATATTTTGGGTTCGGGCCTTAAGGATAATATCTTGTTGGAGTAAATATTCATTTTTATTAGGCTTTATGCAGTGTAGATTCAAATTAATAGGAGCTTCAATGCGAATATCAAACATAACAAAAAATTGAGGCCCCTAAAATTCTGGGACGAAAACCTATTGCTTTAGCTTCTTGACCCTTTGGCCGCCCTGATGGGTGTATACACATTTATATAATACAGGTCAAAATTGACTCGTATTTCATAAAAGAAAATACAAATACAATATGGGGAAAATGTGACATTTCATTTATACTCTCTCCTAATTTTTCCTTTCCCATTTGAGGGGTTTTGAACTTGGAGAGGGGCTTCAAGTCAAGTTTAAAGAAGATTCTCTTGTAGCAATCTGTGGATTATAAATGAGAACGACAGGCAAACTCTACCACATTATTTTTCAATTAAGATTATCAGCCAAACATTTTTTTTGTTTTTAAGCTTAAATAGACCAAAATGACTTTGTGTCTAGTTGAAAATACATCAACATCAAGTATAAATTAAGTTGTTGAATTGACTCACCAAAGAAACTCAATGGTTCAAGAGACAAGGCTATAATACGCACAAATCTTTGTGTTGATTTAGATGCTGATGGATATCGCAAAGAATTTCTTGTCTTTTCTTAAACGGTATTTGTAATGACAAATCAATCTTGCTACCGTTTAGTTCTCAGACTCAGTGGATGTCCAAAAATCAAATGGTTTTGTCAAATTTGGGATATGCTGAAAGTGACTTAGAATACAAGTCTTCTCATTCGTATACATAGACAATTGAACTGACATTTAAAAAGAAACTATACATCGGTTTGAAGAAAGCAGAATTGGATTGTTTACTTATCAATTTTTTAACGTTTTATCTTTTCTCTCTTCTCTTTTTATCTAGAAGATTGTACCGCACATATTGATTGAGGTTTTAACAAGATTTACTGTTGTTGATGGGTTCGAGATACATATTCGTGAAAACCTACTAACTTTTGCTCAAACTCTATTTATTAAGAAGTCCAACAAATATCTATAAATATTTCATCGTAAGACTAATTGTTATTATAAATTTATTTGAAGCCAATATAGAAACTCATAAGCTTCAAATTCGGGATTCACCTCTGAGCATACATATTAAACGTAAATAAAAATGATATAAGAATAATTTAACCTAGTATTTATTCTGTTATAAATTATATATATATATATATATATATATATATATATTGTATTGGGTAAAATAGGTTTATAAATGATCGAATGATAGCATGATACGTGGAACTGAAGATAGGTAAAAGGCGAATCAAGTAACAACCAGTATCAGGAACAACAATTGGCATCGGGTAAGCTCCAAAGGGAGCATGGTCAACGGGAGCAGATTTTATATTTGCTATCGGATAACATTCAATGAAGAATATCCTCTAACATTAAATGGGCAGCCGTTGCAGAGAATATTTACATTCGTGGCCTGCCGTTACATATTCATCAATGACTCCTTTATTATCATTTAAGTGGAACTTGATCCTAGGTTCTTGTTTCCCTAGGTATAGCTATAAATAGCATGCTTAGCAGCCATTGTAACACACGAAATTCTTGGCAAAATATATGTTGTATTCCATTTTCACTCTCAATCAAACAACTTTATTTGCTCTTTTATATTGTTTTCATTCCTATCCCCGGAGCCGCTGCTCTCGGAGCCAGGCTTGTCATCTTCTTTAATTCTAATCGCTAAGTCTTACTTTTAGTCACATTTATTTACCATTTTTGGATCAAATCAGTTCGCTTGTCTAGAAATCATGTAACAAATTCAACTGTACCATTTTAGGGGTAAACAGTTTGGCGCCCACCGTGGGGCATAGACAGTTGCGTAATTGTTTGATCCTTACATTTATTACTAACTTGTTTGATTCTTTCCTTAGCAAGAAATCGAAAATAGCAGCTAACGATGTCAATATCACGCCCAACGATGTCAATATCAGCTAACTTGTTTGCCTCAACATGAGTTTCAATCAGCGACACTCGTAATGAAGAGGACAAAACAACCCCGGTTCGTGAAGGGCACTACCCCCGGCATGTGCGGGAGACAACTCCCGATGAAGCGGAGGAGGAACATGTCGTGGAAACAGTAAAAATCTTGAGGGAGCTGTAGAAAGCCATCATGATCCACCTCTCAAGGCAGGATAGGGTAATGATAGAGTTGAAACAAGCATTGTCAGGCGCTTCCAAAAATGCAAACGGAAGGGGCCCGGGTCCTCCCGGCGTTCCTGCAAATCAAACGACTCAAAGAGTTGATAAAAACACCCCAAAGGATGAGGTCGGTTTCGATAGTGGCGGGGGGGGGGGGGGGGGAGGGGGGGACCAGTAGCGGATCTGGTAATAATAACAGGAATAACCCCTTCAAAACCGAGCTTATGAGATTTATGAGGGATAGATCAAAACGCGAAGGAGTTTTACGCCCGAATGGAATAGATTCCGAGCGCACCACTAGTTTTGAAAGGCCCAGATTTGAAAATATACACTCAATTGCCGTTTAAGCTAAGCGCAGCACCAGAGATGATTCTGAAGAGGTTTAAAATGCCGTACATACCAAAATACGATGGCACTTTGGATACGCAGGAGAACATAATAACCTACAACACAACTATAAAGGGGAACGATTTGGCTCAACATGAGACCGAATTGGTCTTGGTGAAGAAGTTTAGTAAAACCCTCACAAAGGGGGCCCTAACATGGTATTAACTCTTACCCGAGCACTCAATTGGCTCTTTTGAAATGATTGCAAATTCATTCATAATGACTCATGCCGGATAAGGAAGGTCTAAGCTAGGAAGGGGGACATATCTAGGATCACTCAAGGTGAGTCCGAATTGCTGTGTGAATTCGTGATCAGGTTCTAGAAAGAGAGGATACTGCTACCGGTTGTACCAGACGAGTGGGAAGTGGAGGCGTTCACAAAGGGTTTGAATACAAAGAGTTACGATGCCTTGTGAAGCTGAAAGAAACCTGCTCGAATTCCAAGAGACCACATGGGAGGATGTCCATAATCGCTATGAGTCGAAAATAAGGATAAAAGGCGATCAACTCGGTTTCCCGACATCAACCAAGAAATGAGACCCAGATAAGAAACATGATAAGTTCAAAATCAATTTCGATGCGGATCGACAATTTTCTAAAGGTCGTTTCCTGCCATACGAGAGAACCGAAGGACACGATAGCAGAGGGTTTTGGTCCTCGGATAGGTTCGCTCCCGATAGAAGAACTGACCATGGTCGGAACAATAGGCTGTTACAAGAAAAAGAGGTACCGAGGGCCCAAGATTCCACATATCCCAGGTTGTCGAATTATAACTTCAACATCAACGTAGTGGAGTTGGTGTCAACGATGAGGAATATCAAAGAAGCACAATTATCGAAGCCAATCAGATCTGATCCCAACCAGAGGGATCCTAACTTATGGTGCGAATATTATGAGACTCACGGTCACAGAATTGGGGACTACCGACATCTGCATGAAGATGTGGCGATGTTGTTGAAGAATGGCCATCTTAGGGAGTTCCTGAGTGACCGAGCCAAGAACAATTACGGTCGAAGCCGGGAAAATGCAGAGCCTTCGAAGATAGCAGAAGACTCCCCTCGGTTGACTAACAACATGATTTTCAGAGGGAATAAAATTAATGGCATAACCTTTTCGGAGGCCAAGAAAATAAAGATATCAGTGACCCATAACAAGAGACTCCGGGAAGTCGCAGAAGATGACATCATCTTCATGGAAGAAGACGCCGGCGGACTTCTTCTGCCACATAATGATGCCCTAGTAATTTCTTTCAATGTCTTAGATTTCAAGATTAAGCCTATTTTGGTTGACCCAGGAAGATCATCCAACATCATTCAATAGAGGGTGCTGGAGCAAACAAAGTTAACCGGAAACATCATTCCGGCAACAAAGCTCCCCGCTAGGTTCAACTTGGTAATTGTGACAAATAGAGGAGAGATCTTTTTGCCCACGAATATTGAAGGGGTAACCAAGACCACCTTATTCAAAGTGGTAGACGCGCGACATGGGTTACAAAATAATCCTTGGAAGGTCGTGGATACATGAGATGAATGTCGTGTCCTCAACATATCATCAACTGTTCAAATTCCTGACCCCCAAGGGAATCAAGCAAATAAGAGGATATCAACCGGAAATAAGAGAGATGAACGCAATGTCGATTTCCAGTAGCAAAGGGAAGGAACCCAGCAAATAGCAATTACAGGAACCGACGCCTTCTCCCTTGCCAAATGAAGATGATAAAGGCGAGGAGTCGTTGGAATCCCACCAGGTGCCGAGATACTTTCACGTACTGGAGGAGACAGATGCAACCAAGTCCACTACAGAAGAACTCGAGCAAGCTGCTTTATTTGAAGAATTCTTGGAAAAGAAGTTTCACTTAGGAATCGTACTTGGAAAACTTTTATTCCGGTTACTGCTTGTTAAATTCCGTTAGGTTCTTTGTCAAATACTAGGTGGTCGTGTACAAGATAAGACTAGATCCGAACTTCCCACTGGTAAGGCAAAAGAAATGCCCTAGCCGAGGTCAGAAACATGTTTGTTTAAAAAGAGGTAACTCGACTACTCGACATTGGTTCAATGCGGGAGGTAAAGTATCCATAATGGTAGCTAATGTAGTTGAAGTTACAAATAAGAATAACAAGTTTAGAATGTGCATAGATTATAAGGACTTAAATAAGGAGTTCCCTAAAAACTCGTTCACATTCATTGCCAAACATTGATCAAATGATTGATGCAACAACCGGGCACGAATTAATGAGTTTCCTTGATGCCTACTCTAGGTACAATCAAATCAAGATGAACTCGGAGGATCAAGAAAAAACTTCATTCATAACAAACTTTGGCACATATTGTTATAATATGATGCCATTTGGGCTTAAACACGCTGGTGGAACTTATCAGAGGCTCGTGAATAAGATGTTTGAGAAGAAAATAGTATTTGAGTGCAGGTGATCATTTGAAACACCTCCAGGAAACCTTCGACTTCTTGAGGAAACATAACATGAAACTCAACCCGGGAAAATGTGCATTCGGGGTTGGCTAGGGAAAATTCTTGGGGTTTTTGCAAAGATGGATTGAGGTAAATCTCGATAAAATCAAAGCCATAAAAGACATCCTGGACCAGCTAACGCGCGTAAAGGAGGTACAGAGGTTAACCAGAAGTTTGGCCGCTTTAAGAAGGTTCATCTCAAGATCCTAGGAAAAATTTCATCATTTCTTCTCACTTTTGAAAAAGAAAAACCATTTTGAGTGGACTCCCGAATGCTAGTAGGCACTAAAAGATCTAAAAAGGCACATGTCCATCCTCCAGTTACTATCAAAATCAGGGGAAGGCGAGCAATTGCTAATATATCTAGCAGTCTCAGAAGTAGCGGTAAGTGCCATTTTAGTCTGAGAAGAAGAAGGTATATAATTTCCTGTCTGTTATGTTAGTAAAATACTTTCAGGTGCAGATACTCATTATCTGCACCTCGAAAAACTGGCCTTAGCTCTCGTAGTCGCATCTCGAAAGCTTAAGCCTTATTTTCAATGCCAGCCAATAGCCGTTGTGACAACCTTTCCCTTGAGGAATGTTCTTCACAAGCCTTAGGTGTTAGGCTATTTGGTTAAATGGGCAGTCGAAATTAGTGAGTTTGACATTGAATACAATCCTAGGACTACGATCAAATCACAAGTTTTGGCTGACTTTATGGGTGATTTTAATCCTGGGTTAATGCCCCTAGATGCTAAAGAGGTAGTACTGGTGTTAGAAATGACATCAAGAGTTTGGACCTTATTTACAGATGGAGCTTCCAATATAAAAAAGGTTTGGGATCGGAGTAGTTCTAGTCATGCCTTCGGGAGAAACCTTGAGGCGGGACATTAAGACCGTTCAGTTAACTAATAATGAAGCCGAGTATGAGGCTTTGGTTGAAGGACTTGAACTGGCCTGGAGACTTGGCTCCGAGGTCATTGATATTAAATGTGATTTCCAGGTTGTAGTAAACCAAGTTTATGGGATTTTTGATACAAAAGAGGAACGCATGCTACAGTATGTGAAAAAGGTTTAGGTAGTGCTTACACGATTCAGGGAATAATCGATCATACACATTCCGAGAGAAGAGAACGTAGAAGCAGACGCATTGGCTAATTTTGGGTCATCTACAGAGAGGAAATGATATGACTCTGGTACTGTTGTTCAACTTCCACAATGTGGATGGTTATTGTGAAATCAATATACCTAACATAGTCTGGGACTAGAGGAGCGAGTTCATCGAATATCTTTGACATGGTAAATTACCCGAATGCATCCCGAGCATTACGCACCAAAGCGTCTCATTACTACCTCATGGATGGGAAATTATATAGGAGATCGTACCAAGGCCTATTAGCCCGATGTATGGGTGCATCGGATGCGGACTACGTGACGAGAGAAGTCCATGAAGGAATTTGCGGGAACCATTCAGGTGCAAATTTGTTGCTACTAAAGATGGTTAAAGCAGGATACTATTGGCCCCGGATGGAACAGGATGCAAAGGTGTTCGTTCAGAAAAGTGACAAATGTTAGCACTATGCATAGTTGGTACACCAACCGACGGAACTCTTAGATTCGGTACTGTCCCTATGGCCATTTATGAAATGGGGGATGGATATAGTTGGTCCGCTACCACCGGGTTTGGGAAAGGTAAGATTCCTTTTAATTTTAACTAATTATTTCACTAAATGGGTTGAAACAGTTCCTTACCATGATATTAGTAAGCGTCAAGTGGTCGACTTCCTATGGGACCACTTAATCTGCCAATTCAGAATACCGAAGGAGATTGCCTGCGATAACAAACCACAATTCATAGGCTCAAAAGTCACAAAATTTTTGGAAGATTTGAAAATCAAAAGGATTACATCTTCACCGTACCATCCGAGCGCTAATGGACAGGCGGAGTCAACCAATAAGGTGATTGTCCAAAACCTCAAAAAGAGGTTAGAAGCTGCTAAAGGCAAATGGCCCAAAGAGTTATCAGGTGTGCTATGGCCGTATCGGATGATGGAAAAATTGAGCATGGGAGAAACACCTTTCTCTCTAGTATATGGAACGGAAGCTTTGATATCGGTGGAAGTAAGGAATCCAATTTTACATTTTTCCCGAGCAAGCAAAGAAGAAAATAATGAGGCGCTACCGGTGAAGGTGGATTTGCTCAATGAATGCAGGGACTTGGCATGCATGAGGATGGTGCCTCAAAAGCAAATGATAGAATGATATTTTAATCGGAGGGCCAATCTCTGCTACTTCAAAGTAGGAGACTTGGTTTTGAGAAAGGTGACTCAGAGTACTCGGGAAATCAATGCCGGGAAGCTGGGTCCAACATAGGAAGGTTGTAAGCACGTGATTTTTGCCCTATATGAGAATTACTCCCAAAAAATTCAAAAATAAAATGATTTTCCTTGGTGTGCAATTTTGTGATATTTTGTGATATTTTTGAATAATTATTTGTATTTGTCTGTGCATGTTTATTTGTTAAATTAATAAAAATACAAAAATATGTCGCATTTTGCATGTAGAATTTAATTCTACAATTGTTAGTAATTAAGTTTGTTTTACAAAAAAAATAAAAATTACAAAAATAGGCATCGTTTGCATTTTTAGCATTTAATGTCCAAATATACAATTTTATGCTTAATTATTACTTAATTATGCGTTAATTGTTATTGGGAGTTAATTTGCGCTTTTATAACTTAATTTAGTTCTTAATAATA